TTTTTTTTAGGATTACTTTGTACTATATATATATATATTGTATCATGGCGCGAAAATTTCTTACTCTACGTTCATTTTACAAATAGCGTATAAATTTTGATAGTATCTTTTCTCGAAAATGTGTGAAATACTTCAAACATTTGCCTCAATTTTGAATTCATTTATATTTAAAATTAACAATCGAGTATAATATTTCGCAAAACTCTGCTTTGAAAATAACAATTACTCTTAAATGTTTTATACATTGGAAACTATGAAATGGAAAAAATTCAAGTGAAATTTAAACAGAAAATATTCAAATGAAATTAATCTTCTTTTTAATCATTGTGCATAGATGTGACAGTCAACTGCAACGTACATATTACGTGTCCTTTTTAATTTACTACGCGTTTATGTTCAAAACACTTATTGGACAAGTATCGACAAATGGACGTTGCCAATCTAAAAAGCAAAATCCCGGCAACCGGTGTTTGGCATTTTGTAGCACTAGAAACAGGTTTTTCTTGCAGATATTACAGTGCCCATAAACGTGGAACAGAACGGCCCACGTGACTGGGAAATCAACCAATCAGCTGTTTAACTTTGTCGTGCCGCCAAGCTCGTCTCTATTCTGTACTGTGCACGCGGAAGCTAGATTTTCGTGCGATATTTTTCCAAGTAAACGAGCATTCTCTTCGAATGGTTGCATTAGTACAATAAAGAAACAGGTAGCTTTCACTTTCGCGCGTACTATAGAACGTTCTTTGATTGGTATATCGTTGAATTCTGTCCTCAAATGGTTCTATATCATAGTCGCCATTTTGGTGATAGACCGAGCCAAGATTAGCGAGTGTACCTATGATCTTTTTATTTTCACTCGGCATTCGGTCGATCGTCGTGATCGTCGGTGACGCCGGGACGGAATTCTAACCTCGAGGATGACGCAACAAAACAAAACGATGAACTTTCTCATACATGACGCGAACGGTGAGTATGCCGAGTGCGCGCCAATTATCAGCATGCCTTGCCTCGATGATAATGCTTTAATTTTCTTTCATTTTCTTCAAGATCGCTCGCTTTCGCTTTTGTTGCCAGGTTATTGGAATCATGCTTGTGTTTCTGTCATTTTTTGTTTGCCTCTTGTCGATTACAATTCCACGTTGACTCTCCTTTTCCACGCTCTTGTTGGTCTTATGCTGTTCCTTTACAAACTATATCCGTACTGAATTTATAGAAAGATATTTTCTTTTCTGTTACCAAACAGACAGAACTTCTGAATTGTTTCATCTTAGATTGTTCAGAAATGTACTTTCTTCTCTTGTTTGATCAGTTGAAAAAGTCATCTTTGCTCCTTCATATCTGTAGTCAAGTTTAAAGATTCTATTTAATGCCATTCTATTAAGATGATAAATCTTATTAAGATGTATTAGCTTGAGAAGTCTTTATTAGGTTATCGGTTTTTGATGTTTAAGATGTCAAATATTTAAATTTTCCGTTAATTATCATATTCATTTTATATTGTTTGATGTTATAATATTACACTTATAGAGTTTGACTGTTGAATTTAAGAAGAATTCATATATCAATGTTGAATTCTTTCTATCTTCTTTTCTTACTTGTTTGAGTATCAGAATAATAATAAAAAATTTCATATCATTTTAGGTCATCCACAAGTAATAAAAGTAGTGCAAAGTACAGCTAATAAGGCATTGGGTGGTATCGTCAGTACAACAAATGCAGGTGGCCTTAAAGTCTTTAAGACTCCGAGCCAAGAATCTCAGGTATAATATATTTATAACGATTTTATTTGCCATTTGAATTTTCTTTCCGTTTATAATATTTATATAGAAATAATTCAGTTTTATATTTCAATATTGATTGATGAATTCAACGATGTCTTTAATATTTAGGTTTTGTCATCTAACGCACAAGTTCTTAGAACTATCAGTCTGCAGAGTCCTTCAACTCCTGGCCAAAGTAAGTAATTTCCTCAATAATTGTTACTATATATTATATTTTTTTATGTCTTTTCTCTTTTCAATGATATGATATGTTCAATATAAATGTTAATATAAATTTTTATATATATATATATATATAAAGAGATTTCTTCTTGAATTTTCTTACATAAAAGTGTAAGTACTGATTATATGAAACAAATATCTCAAGTAGAACTTACTCTGTTTCCAGAGGATATCTTATAATGGATACAAATTTTGTCTAGTTGAATGTGTATTTCTTTTTTGAATGAAGTTTGTATTCATTATATTTTATTTAGTTAGATACATAATTCACTGTAAGATAAATTTGTTGATACATAGTATGTTGATCTTTCAAGGTTAAGGTCATTTAAGGACAAGGAAAGTTTTGTGGATGATCATAGAAGACGTTGCTAAATGATAATGAAAAACCTATAAATATTACAATTCAATGAATTTGTCTTGTAATGAGCTTGTAATGATATTTTATTTTAAAAAATAAAAATTTCCTTGCAATTTCTGGAAATGCGTCCAACTGGACAAGATCTGTGTCCATCGTGAAATATTTCAGATATCAAACGAAATAGCAAACTAATTTGAAATATTTTTATAAATAATGAGTGTTTTGAGAGATAATTAAAATTTATTCAAATGCACATCCTGTTTACTTGGTACAATATCTAATCATTTAATTCTGAAATAAAAGATAATAAAACAATGCTTTGTTCATAATTATTCTAGGGTTGGTTACAATACCATTACAGAACACAAAATTGGCAACAACCAAGGCTGGTGAACCTGTACTGACCAAAACTATACAGTTAACATCTGCACAAATGGTATGCTTTGTTTAAGAGAATTATCTTTTAGTAAAATTTGAATTCGTTAAAAATTGTTCATCGTGTTGTGCAGAGCGATATAAAACAGGCAATAGTATCTCAGCAGCAGCAACAACAACAACAACAATCCAGTAATCAACAAATTGTGAAAGATGCAAGTGGGAAAACATACATCAGTCCAATATTGGATCACAGTGGTTCTAGAAAAAGACAAGATGTTGAGGGTGGTGATTTTGTACCAGAGTAAGGATTCATCCATTTCA